TTGTAGTTGAAAGTTAAGCCTAAAACCTCATGCAAATAGGGCCAAAAGCTTAATCAAAACAAAGGTTTACGGGGTTAAAAACTCACCCTTGAAGAACAACTTCAAAGCAGCAACTCTAGCAACCTTTTTGGACCAAAAGCAATCCAAAAACTCCAAAACCAGCTTCAAGGTGCCTCAACAACAAGAGTGTGGTGTTTCACTTGGTGTTTGTGTGCAAAAGTGTGAAGAAACTACACTTTTAAGCACAAATATGAAGAGAAATAAAGAAGTATAGAGATAGATGATATGTATATGCCCTATACAAATTTCTGAACCTGAGACAAGAGGGAGGGGGCTCCCTTTTATAGAAAAACATGCATCAAGCTTTAAGCTTGAATCAATCCCTCCATACACGTGTATGGAGATGCTTTCTGTGCCCAATAGCTAGCATGGAAAATATCTGCAAAAAGTGTAGGAAAGCTGCCGACCAGTTGAAGTGCTCAGCCAGCTATTTGCACTGGTTGGCCGACCAGAGAAAGTGGTCTGCAAGGAGACCAAGTGGTCGGCAAGGGGGGAAAGCTGGTCTGCACAAAGAAAGCAAGGTGGTGGCATGGCTGCCGACCACTTTTGGTGGTCCAAAGACCACAGAGACCAGTTGGCTGACCAGAAAACTGGCTGGCAGGGAAGAAAAGTGGTCTTCAGGGAGAGAAATTGGTCTACACCCCTCATTCCACCCTCCAAGCAAGGAAAACAAGGTTTGCGCCAAAAACAAACCAAAAAGGATGCAAGACAAGAGTCCGTGGAACAAGGCACGCAGCCGGAAGCCTCGAAAACTAGTCTACGGGCGCAAAAAGTGGTCTACGAGAAGGAAAGGTGGTCTACGACCACAAAAAGTGGTATATGGACCTCTGTTCCCCTCTAGACCAAGGCAACAACGCATGGTCCAAAAACCAAGCCAAAAGGAGAACGTTAAGCAGTCCCGAGATAAGGCGCTCAGCCGAAGGCTCCGGAAATCAGAAACTAGCCTACAAGAGGGAAAAGTAGTCTATGACTACAAAAAGTGGTCTACGGACCTCTCTCTCCCTCTAGGAAAGGTCAACAAGGCATGGTCCACAAACCAAGCCAAAACACAAAGAGTTCATAGGACCGGAGGCGAGGCACTTAGCCGAAAACTCTGGAAACTCGAAAAGAGCACAAACATGCGCGATCATCGAGCGCTCAATCGATGACGTCTGAGTCTTAAGGTCGGTCAAAAATGGGGTGTCTATAATAGCAGTTTTATTTTGATTTTAAAATTGAGAATGGTTATATTTTAATGAGTTCTGAATCTAATATCAAGCCTACAATTGGCCGAAATACAAAATGCAAATCCATAAATGCATAACACAACAAAAACAACCTTAACACACCTATTGGGTTGTAAAAGACTCAAAACAAGACCTGAAACAAAATTTATAAGCTAGACTGTGGGACCACACTATTTTTGCAATTATAGGGTCGACTGGTCAAAAATTTGTTCGGCTGAGCTAATCGTAGCCAGCCGGTTGAAGGTTTCGGCCAGAAAGTGGAATGCAGCTATCAAGCACTCATATAACCTTATCTTTTTAAAAGATGACTCGCGGCTACTTCTTCACCCAAAATTGGAAAAACTAGGAAGCTTCTTCTACAAATGGAGGCTCCAACTATAGTTAGGCTCCAGGATTGGATAACTTCTTTGGATGGCATCGATAAAGTGAATTTCATGGGATTCGGCCTAAATGCCCTTTTTCCTTTAAGTTGTACTTCACTCCATTTTCATTTCCTTCAGGCGGCGGTTTGTTGCTAGGATCCAATTACCTATGTATTCTACTTTGGCATACAGGAGCTCTATTTGACTACTGAAGAATTCCAGGAATTAATGGAGCTTTCTCGGGATGAAGAAATCATGCCTCAGCCCAACTTCGGCCATGCTCATGCCTTAGCCTAGATATGTGGTATAACCCCAAATGAGTCTCGATCCTTGGCTCACAATAAGGGTTTGTATGTGTTAAGATTGATTCACTAATTTTCCATTGTTGGAGACATGAGTGATCCTATTTGGTGAGGGTGTCATCAATATGTACTTTGAATGTGTCTACTTTCATAGTACATATTGATGACACATTCAAAGTACATAGGACAAGTATCATGATCATTGAGGTGGGCCCACGACTTCAGAAAGGAAAGAGTTGTATGGGCTTAGAGGCATTCCATAGACAACAGACCTTTCGGTTTGCAGGGAGTCCACTAATTCTTTAGGTACTTTTTCCGACCCTTCTTTACTTAATATTTCTTACATCACTTTGGCCATTTTCACTCAATTTTTTTCTCAACACCCTTCATCACTTTTTCCCATTCAACGTACATCTTTCTATTCTTTAATATCTCTCATTTTTCATCCTTCCCCAAGTATGGTTGATGGATAAGCTGAAAGTAGTGGCTTCCTATGCTCGATACTTAGCTAGGAACTACTTCTTCTAAGCCTGTAAAGTAGATTTTCCTTAAGAGGGCCTGTGGTATGACTAGATGTGCAACAAGTCTGCAACATGCATTGCTTGGTGTTGCCTCTAGTTAAACTTGCCTCCAATGACATACAGTATGTTCCACCAAATAGGTGTGCAATTGATTGGCCTGACACACTGGGCTTTTTACTTCTTTTTCTGATTCAGGCGACAACTTGGACATGATCAGACTCACCCTGTTGATGGGATTGAGTATCCAGCTTCATTTCTACTCCGGGCTAGGCATCGTTCTTAGTATGCAACTGCCTGGAGGATGAGGGAGGTCTTGGCTCTTACCGATGACTTTAGTTATGCCCTTTCCAGCGAGTGCATACTTTGGCTTGAGGAGGAGGCATAGGTGGGTGCACCCTTTGTAACATAATCTTCTAATGCTGGAGGGAGAGAACCACATACTTGACTTGACTATGCCCCTAGTTTATTACTTTGACCTTAGCTTTATGATGTAAAATGCTTTAATTATTATGGTAGTGGGTTAAGGATATTTTTTGTTTTGAAATATTGTAAGAAAGATTCTGGATATTGAAAAGCTTCCTCTCAAGTCTAATGAAAGGTTCATTTTGCAAAAAGGTGTTTGAGAAACTCAGTCAATTTTGTTAAAAACACTAAAGCACAATTTCATAAACACCTGAAATCAACCTTCGAACTGCACAACCTCAAATAAATTCCTTAGATAGGACTCTCTGCACGTCTTCCACTATTGTATCACCAATCAGATCTACCTTGCAATCATATTCATCACAGAAAAGTAGGTCAAGATTACTGGATATGAATTTGAGTAAAAATGAATCGATCGATCATACACAAGACAACCAAGTTTAAAATGGTTAGGGACGAACTTCAAAATGAAGTTGCATATGTATCCAAGGGTTGGGATTCAGGCCTTACATAGTTCACGATTAAGGTCCACTCGGGTATTTACTCTCTCTTTTTGATCTCTAATTTTTTCCAAAGCCGCCCTGTTGGGTTTTCAACCTTGTAAGCTCCACTTTATTTATTTTCCTTTTTCTTGCTCTAAGTTTTTGCCTGGGTTGCCATTCTGGGTTTTCGGCCTAGCAACCCTCTCAAGGGTAGTATTCCTTCAATTTGTCCATATTGATCAGTTATGAAAACTCTAGTCTATCCAATCTAACAGAATAACCACTCTTCCTAACCAAATTGACTTGATGATGTAAGGACCAATCCAATTGGGTTTGAACTTGCCCTTAGGATTGTAAATTGGAGCTTGATTGCCCTTTAACACTAGATCTCCCTTATTCAGATTCCTGGACTTGACCTTCTTGTTAAACGCTCGAACAATCCTGCTCTAGTACCCCTGCACATGGTACAAAGCCGTCAATATTCTTTCGTTAAAGAACATTAGCTCTTCAAAGAGATTTTGTTTCCAATTAGCCTCCGCTATCTGACATTCTACCATAATCCTTAGCGAAGGCACCTCTATCTCAATTGGTAGTACTGCCTCCATCCTATAAACCAGGGAGTAGGGGTTTGCCCTAATAGATGTCCGAATCGATGTCTTGTAGCCCCACAATGCGAAATGTAGCTTATCTGGCCAATCTTTGTAAATTTCTACCATTTTTCGTAGGATGTCCTTGATATTCTTATTTACGACTTCAACGACTCCATTGGTCTGTGTATAGGTTGATGATTTGTGGTAAGCCACATTATATTTCTCGAGCAGATCAATTACTTCTCCCTTGAAGTGAAAACCGTTGCCCGAAACAATCTCATTTGGAACCCCATACTATAGATGATGTTGTTCCTGATAAACTTGGCCACGTGTGGCGCTTTCAACACTGCATACGGCTGTGCCTCCACCTACTTGGTAAAGTAATCGATTGCTACCAGAATAAACTCATGTCCATTTGACCCTTTGGCATTATTGCCCCAATCACATCGATTCCCCAGACAGTAAAAGGCCACAGCGAATTCATGTTGTACAACTTTGATAGAGGAATATTCATGTGATTGGCATGAATCTAACATTTGTTGCATCGCCTGACAAAACTGACACAATCACTTTCCATAGTCAACCAATGATATCATTATCTAAGGATTTTCCTTGCTAGCATAGTACCATTCATATGAGCCCCACATTTCCCTAGATTCCATGATGCGCTTCGCTTCATCTTCCTCTACGCATAACTTATGCATTCGCAGATAACCCATTATGTACAACTTGTATCCATAGATGATGAATTGAGTGACCAAATGCCGTATCCCTCTTTTGTCCTTAGTATTTGCCCCTTATAGGTATACTTCCTTCTCTAGAAAATTCTAAATGTTAAACTACCAAGGACCTTTATCTTGGGCTTCTTCTGCCACATCATTCATCTCGCATGTCGTTGTATATCTCTATTCTATGATAATTGGATGCATCCTTAGCCCAATCGGTATGTCCATCACCAAAGCTAAGGTTGGCAAAACATCAACAAACATATTGTTCTCCCTTACCAAGTGTGTAAATGTCAATCGTTCGAACCTTTAGATCACCATATCCAAGGTCTGATGATGGACTTTCATTTTCTCTTCCTTCACTTTCCAATCCCCGTTAGCTTGAGACACAACCAACTTTGAATCTCCAATCACATCTAATCTTATTGCCCCTAGTTCTAGGGAAGCTTTTCGTCTAACTATTCTTGCCTTATACTCTGCCTGATTGTTGGACACTTCAAACTGAAGTTTGAAGGCCAAAGGTACTTCCAAGTCATCTGATGCTATGAGCAATACTCTTATCCCATATCCACACTGATTGGTAGCTCCGTCAAAATACAATTTCCAAGTGTCCTCTTCCAACTGCACGATCTCCACATCCGATACTTCGTACTCCCAGTTCGTACTCCCTGTTCTTCTTCTCCATCGATCGAGTGGTTTGCCAAGAACTCTGCTACAGCTCTCCCTTTGACAGATTTGCGAGTGACATATCGAAGATCGAACTCGAAAAGCAAAAACAGCCATCGAGCTAGTCTATCGATAAGTGTTGGTTTCTCAAAGAGATATTTGATGGGATCTAACCTTGAAACCAGGATTACCGAGTGTGCTAACAAGTAGTGTCTTAACTTTCTGGTGGCTTAAACTAAGGCTAGGCAAGCCTTTTCTAAAAGGGTGTAATGAGTTTCGTATTCTAACATCTTCTTGCTTAGATAACATATGGCCTTTTCTACTTTCTTTTTTGATTCTTGCCCTAGCACACAGCCTATAGTACATTTGGTCATTGGCAGGTATAGGATCAATGGTTTTCCTGGCTTAGGGGGTGATAACATGGGCGGATTCTGTAGATATTGCTTAATTTGCTCAAAAGCATAATTGCATCGGTCATCCCATTGGAATTTATTCCCTTTGTTCAACAATCTAAACAGTGGTTCACAAGTGGAGGCTAATTTAGAAATAAACCTTCTCATAAATTGTAATTTTCCCAAGAAACCTCGCACTTCCTTTTCAGTCATTGGTGGGGAAATTTCTAGGATGGCCTTGATTTTGGACTAGTCGACCTCTATTCCACGTTGCATGATTAAGAACCCTAGCTTCTTTCCTGCAATCACCCCAAAGGTACATTTTTGTGGATTTAGCCTTAACTTGTACTCCCGAATTCTTTCAAAGAACCTTCCCAATGCATCATGGTGACCTTGTCATTTTTTGGACTTGACAATCATATCATCCACGAATACTTCAACCTCCTGGTGAATCATGTCATGCAATATGGTGGTTGCTGCACTCTGGTAAGTGACTTCGACATTTTTTTAACCTGAACGGCATAACCCGATAGCAGTAAGTCCGTCACTGAGTGGTGAATGTTGTCTTCTCTCTGTCTTTAAGTGCCATAGAGATCTGATTATACCCTAAAAACCCATCCATGAACGAAAGTAGAGCATGACCTGAAGTGAAATCAACCAATTCATCAAAGTGTGGTAGTAGGAAATCATCTTTAGAGCTAACCTTATTTAGATCTCAGAAATCAACATAAACTTGAATCCTGTCATCCTTCTTGGGAACTGGAACAGTGTTTGCCAACCACGTCAGATATTCTGACACAATAAAAAATCTTGCATTGATCTACTTAGTGACCTCCACTTTCATCTTCAATGCCCAGTGTGGCCGGATTCTACGGAGTTTCTGCTTCAAGTCAGGCCTCGGGATCAAGAAGAATCCTATAATGGACAATCTCAAGATCGATTCCAAGCATGTCTTCATAGGACCACGAAAAAACATCTTTAAATTCTTTTAACAAAGCGACTAGTCACTCACATTCTTCTGAAGACAGTGTGGAACCAATCTGGACCAAGTGGGGATCCTTCTTAGTACCCATATTAATTGGAACAATCTCATCAATCAAAGATTTTGTACGTATCTTCTCCTCCCAATTAATTAAAATTTTCAAAGCCCGAGGAATTTCCTCCTCTTTGTTTTTATCAAAATTTTGAAAATCTTGGTTAATGTAATAAATTGAAGGCATAAAAAAGTAAGCATAATCCACACGATTTTCATTCAACAGGTTTGGCTCTAAGACAAGACAATGGCATCTAAGTTATCAACCTCAGGACCACCCAACTAAGAACTACTAGAAGACCCTGAGTCTGACTCCGACTTTACAGACTTAGTAGAATCAGACTCGGACTCATTATCAGATTCAAATTCCATGATGTAACCCTTGTCGAGTTGCCAAGTCAAATGAGGTGCCTTAGATGCATCGTGAATACGGTCACTGCAGCCCATAGACGACCCTTCCCCGATCACAAAAATATTGGCATCCTCAAAACCCTGTAACTTAGGGCTAGCTTCACGGTCAGCTAGTGTCAACTCCACTTTGTCCCCATCCGCTTTGGCCAGATAGCTGCTCCCATCTTGGTCCTTCCCATTTTTGAAGTTTGCTTCCTCGTCCTCACTCTCAGACAGGTGGTGGCCAAAGAAAACCTCAAATTCTAGGAGTCGTTCCTTTGTCTTGAGGTTAACCCACAGTTTAGGAAAATCAAAAAAGTGAAAATCATCCCCTTCTCTGATAAAGCAACCATTCAAGGTTCCTCGGATTGGTTTGTATTTCAATTCATACTGCTTACCAGCTCTCTTAGCTTTGGCCCTTGCTCTCATCTCATCCCCTTTCCTTTTCCAATCTTCTTTTGTGGGTCTATACCCTAACCCAAATGAATGAGGGTTATGGGTAGCTTTGTTTGCTGTCGTAATACCTTCTTTATTCCACTCTTTCCAAGTCCCATCCTCGGGATATATGTCCTAATGTACTCATAAAGTAGATTGACTGAGCACTCAGGTACATCCTGTTCTTAATTGCCATGATAGTTTGAACTAATTGGGCTTTAGCTAAAGTGAATCCAAAAAGGAAAACACGTTCTTCCCCATGATCTATCGCTAATACTGAGGTTTATCACCTCAGGTGGGGGGTGGATAAATGAATTCCTAAAGATAGTAGCAATCGCTTTGGCATATGCGTATTTGACCAACTGATGCATTGTGGAATAACGACTTTCATTTTATGTAACCAAGGTCTGCCCAATAATAAATTGAAAGTTGTCAGTACATCCATGACGTGAAACTCAGTTTCGTGCTCAGATGGTCCCACTAAAATCTGTATTTTAACGGTGCCTATAACCTCCCAACTAGTGTTGTCATATACTCAAATCAACTTATTTGTTAGTGCAAAGTCGGTTGGCTTTAACCCTATCACACAAGTAGTACGCGAAGGGCATACATTTATAGTTGACCTAGTGTTAATTAGAACCACAAGGACCCACTTTTTTCGGCATTCTAGAGACGCGTACAAAGGTTTGTTGTGCTCTGATCCTTTTGGAAGGAGTTCCTTATTTGAGAAAGTCATAGATGGAATGGGCCTAGTTGGTGTGATCAATCACACTAGCTGGTCTAGTGTAGCATCAATGGACAATTTGGCTTCACTTACTGCTACGAGCAGAACTTGTCAGTGTTCGCGTGATGCCATGAGCAATCCCCAGATTGAAATGTTAGTTTGGATCTTCTTCAAATGTTTAAGGAGTAGATTTCCTCTTCTTCTTTTTCCTTTTCGATCCCTATCTCTGCATCCTTTCCTGATGGTTCGCCTTGATCTAGGTGTGAGGGTCTGAAGAAATGCCCTCTCCTAGTTAGATGATCGATTTCTTTAGAATACCAAGTGTCATCTGGCGCATTATTTTCCCAACTTTCATCGGTGTGGGTGAAGTGTAAATTATTGTCTTCCCAACATTCTCATTCATTTATAGATGGGCAATAATCTGGCTCAACATGTATCATTCATACATTGCAATCATCTCCTTTTGGTTGGTAGAGTGATATTGCCTGGATTTCAACAAAGATCTCCCTTTTCTCATATGTGTCCATACCTGGCTAGCTTTTTGCTTTTCTCCTTCTGCTATTGGATCAGTTGGCCCAATGTTCTCAGATTCGGGGACTACCCTCCCAACTTCTCCTCCTAGCACTCATTTTCCAGTCTTCTCTATTTTGGACTCTTCTAGCTTATTACTTTCCTTGGTTATACTAATTTTGCCTATCCTTTCCTTTCCCCTTGTCTTGTTACTGGTTTGTTCCTTCTTCCTTGTTTCTTCATCATTTTCCTCTATTTCTGAATCATCCTCAATGCTTGTCCACCCATGGACATTGGTCAAATTGTTTGGGTTCCACCATTCGATTTGTACATCTTCTAGATTCTGCTCTTCGAAAAATGGAAGTTATCCAAATCCTTTTCCAAATCAGCTAAGTCATCCAATCCTTGCTCAAGTATCTCTTTCTTGATAACATTAATAGAGAATGCACCAGGTAGATCAACCTTCGATTTTGGATGACCGACTGGAACTATGTTCTACTAGGATCATATCCTGACAACTCCTCAATTTTTGTCACTGGCATCTCTGTTGCCACCACAAGATTTTTGAGTTCTGGCTGAGATTGAGGTGCACCCATCATGCACAGATTAGTACTTTCAGGAATGTGAACTTCAATTTTGGGTAAGTAGGAAGGGGTGATATATATACTAGGGTCAAAGGCGAGAGATAGTGTATGGATAATGTAGTGTCTCGGGTCAAGAGTCTATCCATTTTATTCTCTTTGGTTAGGACACGGGGTTATCCCAAGCGACTTTGACCTTGCCTTACGTGTTTGGACCTTGTGACATCTTGGGCTAGCTTCGGAGAGTAGCTTAATACTTTCTGATTGAGCCTAGTCGCACTCACGACCATGGCCTTCGTGCCTATGATTGGCTGGTTTGGAGATTGCACCTGCGATGGACCGTAACCGGTCGTAACCAAAAGTAGGGCTCAGGTCTCTGTATAGGAAGGGTGTGTGCATTGGCCACAAGGAGCTGCGATAGGCATGGTCACACTCATGGTAATAAGGTTACCCCCGTGACCAGTGCACTTGGTGAGTTGTGCCCGCGGTCTATTACATCATGCCTATGGTCTATTTCATCACACCCATGGTACATTGAGTAAATAACTTTCCGGTGTGCGTGAAAAATCACTTTTTATGTGTTTTTCTCTCTCCTCTTCATCCATTCCGCCATTTTTTAGGGTTTCAACCCTTCAAGCATGATTTTCATCTCTTTCTACTCATTTCCTACCCAATGTTCCTTATATAAAAATGAAGAGCATATCGAGGGCTTTCTAACCATCCGAGTAGATCATGTTTTCATCGAAGTTGGAATTTTGGGTTTCTCCTCTTCTTTGTAGAGGTGGGAATTTCTTTACTTCTCTTTAATATTTTCTTATAGATACATGGGTGGCAGATTTATATTGCATAAAAACTTCATCTTGAGGAGATTTTCTTAAAAGCATGTAAAGGCAGTTAGGGTTTTCAAATTATGGAAGTTGAACTTATGATTGAAATGGAACATGGAAAAATAGGAGTTACTACAACATAGTTTTGTGGCTTAGAGTAAAAACCCCTAATTTTTTGTCTAACCCTAGTTATGGTTTCGTTGCTATGAAGATGGAAGATTGTCT